TCTAGAGAGGTAAAGGAGTGCGTTGGTGGCCGGGGATCGAACCCATTGACAATGTGCACGGTCGGCAAGCTTCCTAGCCACTGCGCCACTGACTCCTTACAGAACCAATGCTTGAAAATAGTAAGATATTTCAGTGTTGTAATATCTAAAGAAGGAAATAAGCAACAAACAGAACCAGAGGAAGCTCAAGAGAAGATGATTGTATTGAGGGGAAGAAAATTACCGATATTTTAACTAATTTAGCTGTTAATTTTAAAAGAAAACTTTGATTTACTAATTCATAGAAATTTACTTCCCTAAAATATTTGGCTGATAATAATAATGATAATAAAATTTTCGACATATAACTTGTGTAAATTATTGTGTAAATAAATAGAAGTTAGACCACCAAAGTAAAAAAAAAACAGAGTATTAAAACAGTTACTTCAAATTCTACCGGCCGGTATATCCTGAATTCTTTCTCCGATAGAAACATAGACAAAACGACCGGGAAAATACGCACAGACTTACGCATTTTGTTCACTTCTGTCTCTTCGTTGTTGTTTTAGTTTTCACTATGACTAACAGAAATGTCCGCTGTTCTTTCAAATGACATGCATAAATAATGAAGTTAGATATCCTGTGTAGTGTAGGTTTCCCGCCCCTCCTATCCCTTATACCTAGCTTCCATGCATACATTCTTTAGATATGACAGAGAAACACAACGTTGATATTATAGACAAAAAGCAAAGAATGCACAGTTGTCTACAGTGGATACTTTTCCACGATTTTTCATCATTAAGACTAAAACTAAAACAATAGTGATACTACTACTAATAATAATGGCATATACTGTATTACATTCTTTGTAGTTAATTGACCAGTTATTCCTACAGCAAAGAATGCATTAATAGCAAGCAAATTGCATTTTTTTTCTTTCTCTGTTGTAGAACAGTCATCAGCTTGCTTTCGACATGCATTTTTGGTCTGTAGGAACTATTTAGTTCACTAAATGTCGCATACACTCACTCACATACGCAAAAGACGTTTATCAGCTGTTCAAGGATTTAAAGCCACCCACACAACATTCCTAATTTCTTATGTATTAATAAATTTGTTGTTCGCATTACTGGTATATATATATATATAATTCAATGAATCTATTAATAATAATAATACTAAGACGAATCATGTTTTGTGTATGCAAATTGCATAATTTCTAATAACATTTATGCCTATATATCTATGTATACATATACATAGATATTCGCGTAGAAGAAATAAATGCATAGTGCTGAATTAGTCATCAATGAAATGCATTTACTTCTAACGAAGGGAGATACACACGTAGGCATCTTCGTTGTGTAGTCATTTACTTTCCTTGTTGAATTACAAAATAACATTTGCCCGGAAAAAGCTGGAAAATTCAGGAAAATCAAATCGTGTACGAATCAGATTGCTACGCATCGTCATCGAATTGAGCGTAGAAAGGCGGTCAAACCGCCACCCAAACCTCATCGACTTTGAAAACGCCTTCGACAACATTGATCATGAAGTAATTTGAAAAAACTACTTCAACACTATGAAGTTTTCCAAATAATTAGCTTTAAAATCCCCATTGAGTCATATGAAAAAGAGAAGACGTTCAGCGAAGAGCGACTCTTTCCGGCGAATTCATTCACATAGCTGAACAAGCTCATTTATATGCAGTTATTTATTTTTGTGTGTTCTTGAGGTTTTTCAAGTTTAGTTAATTAATCAGGTATTACAAGGATGATCCAAAAGAGAAGCAAGGTTAATTAGACAGATACTAAAGTAAGATTGAGTTAGCAAGTTAGACGACGTAATATAACTGACTAAAATGTTTCAACTTATGTCAGAATGGCAACGGAAGTAATTACAGGTAGAGACTAAGTAGAGGTGGAGTGACCAGCGCTCAGTTTCTAGTCATTTATGTGACGTCACCAATTGGCCTTATGGATTTTCGGCATACCATACAAAAATTAGAGGTGTCCACCTTTTGAATTGAGTTTGTTGTAAGTTTTGTTGTCAGTCAGTTTCTTGATGAGGAGTTCTTTGGAATATGAACATAACGACGAGTTCAATTTCCTGGACCTAAATGTAAAAAGAAGAAACGATGGAACGGTTGAAAAGTCCATCTACAGAAAAGAAACCTGGACTGGACAATACCTTCACTACAACAGCTTCTGCCCTATAAGCTATAAGCGGAAACTAGTAAGGACATTGTACGACAGGGCCAGGAAGCTATGTTCGCCTAGCAAGGTAGAAGAAGAATTAAGCTTTGTTTAAAAATGCCTGAAAGGAAACAGGTATCAAAAAGGATTTATCCTAAAGTACAGCAAAGAAAGATATGAGAAAGTGAAGTATCCGACAGTTGAAAAGAAGAAAGTGTTCAGTTGCCTCCCATACAAAGGAGAAGCAGTATCACAAAAGATTGAAAAGAGGATGAAAGGAGCAATATAGAGATGCTTCCGTGCAGCCAAGCTGGGGACACTGTACAGCACTACATGCTCTCTAAGCCAATCAAAACTAGATGAGTACCCTGCTGACATTAACTCCAACTGCATTTATAAATGTACGTCCACCTGCGGTAGTAAGTACATTGGAAGGACAGAAAGAAAGGTTTCTATCCGATTTTCAGAGCATATTCCAAGAAACTTATGCTTAAAGGGAAGCAGATATTTACAAAGTGCACTTACCTCAAACACCTTGTGGATACGCGTTATTTTGTCGAGATTTCCAAATCCTGGAAAATATGAAACATACGAAGGACAACGAATCTACTACGATTTGCTGAAGTAATTGCAATCAAAAGTCTCAGACTGAACTTATGCACACAGAAAGAGAGTGTAGTCAATCTCTCACTCCCTTGGTGACCGTATCACTTTTATTACACTGATTAGTCATACACATTATTGAGCTCAGCTCACTAAGCAAGTTTTTAATTTGATGAACTTATATTCCGGATGCGTTCATCTTATAATATTTTCTCTATTACCTTTTAAACATTGAAGTATGAAATGTTATTACTGATACCCTTTGTAATTTCAGGCAGTGGTGTGCAGCTGATGAGAACCTCTGAAATAGAATGACATCATTTGATACTGCAAATCTGGTCTTTCTTTCTTTATCAAAAAATGATTATCTTTTGTCTTCATATTCGAAAAGATTCAGAAGAATTCTGAAAAGTGCTATAAACTAAACTCTTCGAAGTTAAGTAAAAGTAATACATGTACTCCACGCCTCAGTATTTGCAGCACTTTTTTGGCACGCTTCAGTTTGCCGACCAGAATGTGATTAGTTCGTACTGAATAACCTTTTAAGTTTTTGTTCCAGCCAATGATTATCCTCTTTTTGAGTAGAAATCGACCCGCAAAAAACTAAAAATTTCCTTCTCATCGAAATTCGTTATTATCTTATAATCTTAGAGTGAAACAGTGAGATTATGTCCTCACGAATGTCAGTAGTATAACGAAAGAGATGTTTTAGGCAAGTGAACATAATTTTGTTTCATCTTTTTGTATCTCAAAGGTTCCATTAGATATTTTGATATCTGTTACACCTAAGTTTTATAAATACCATTAATAATTAGGCGATGGGAATTAAGAGTAATTAAGAGTAATCTACAACGGGAAACTCACGGAATACCTCGAAGTGAAGACGGGAGTAAGACAAGGCTGCCTACTATTTCCAATGATTTTCCTGATTGCAGTAGACTGCAGCGAGGAAACAGGCACAAAATAGACCCCCACAAAACACTTGGAGGATCTAGACTTCGCCAATGGTATTTGTATGATTTCCCACAAACTGGAAGATATGCAAGTGAAAAGTAACAAGCTGGCAGAAGACACATTGAGAGAAGATAGGCCTTCAGGTGAACATCGAGAAAACAGAGGTGATAAAGATTCTTGGCCAACAGCAACAACAACAAACAACAATTAGCATAAATAAGAGAAATCTGAACAAAGTAAACTCCTTTACCTACCAACCTTGGAAGCATCGTTTCAACTGCAGGCGGACGGAACTGATGAAAACATCAAAGTGAGGATCGAGAAAGCAAGGCAAGCCTTCGTTACTCTCAAGTCTGTATGGAGGTCAACAGCACTCATCCTGGAAAATAAGATGTGGATTTTCAACTCCAATGTGAAGTCAGTGCTACTTGCTAGATGGATCAGAGACTTGACCAGAGCGTCATGAAGAGCACTTCGAACAAGCTACAGACCTTCATCAACAGCAGTCTTCGCTCAACACTACTCAATATCAGATGGCTGGCTAAAAAAGATCAATAATAGGGATTTCTGGGAGCGAACCAACCCAGCCGGAACCGATTGTGCAACAAGTCCGCCGGAAGAAATGGAGGTGGATTGGCTATACTCTAAGAAAACAAACCATCAAGTGACATCACACGCGTGGCCATTGCTCGAGTGGAACTCGAACGAGAAGCGGAGAGTTGGTCGTCAGTTCGAGGATGAAGTGACATAGAGGGGGTGATGTGAAGAGGAGTTGAAAGCATGTGGGCAGAAGTGGAGCCAGGTGAAAACGTTGTCAGAGAACTGAACGCAATGGAAACGTGCGGTCGAAGCCCTTTGTTCCTCTATGAACTAAATAGATACAGTAATAATATTGATATCTGGGAACAAAAGATTCAACTAGTCACTTCCCATTCTGCTTTTTGTTGGAATTCTCCTCCGCTTTACACTAGAAAATAAAGCCAATATTTTGCGTTTTTAACAAAACTGACCTAAAGTATGAATAAGGTCAGTTTTACAACAGGCAAAAGAGATGTAAAATTTATTGTGCTAATAATGTATGTGTCCTGAAGAAATAATAATATTCATATTTGGCACATACACACACATCAGCCACACCAACTTAGACCGGCGTTTTTAAATGCCGAATATGCTAGAATACATATCATCACGTGTTCGCATCCTTAGTTTGTATTAACATATATAAATATATATATATATTGCTTATTTCCCTATTCGGTGTTAGTGAGTGGATAATACCATATTGCCCAATACAAGCACAATGTATCCCATAGACACATACATAAAGTGTGTCTGTGCCAATGGAGATATACAGTGATGTACATCGATTTCTCTTTATGACTACTATAAAGTGTAATTTTCATTTCATATCATTTTATTAATAATAATACATAAGCGCGAATCTGACTAACTTATATGGACTGGAGGAAACAATAGAACTTCAAAAAATATCCCATAGAAATTTAGACAAATAGATTTTCACAGTTATTCAGTAAGTACTTTTGTATATTTGGGAATTAATTATCTTGTTTTATTAGTGATATATATAAATATATATTCGCCAAGTTTTAGGCATTTTTCATAAAATGTTTCAATGCATTCTCGTTTATCTGCCTCAAGATTAACTCAGTTTGAAGTTGAATATGAGCAGTAAGACTTTTCGATTACCTGAATATCTTGAAATATTATATTTCACTATACTAGTACTACTACTGTGCGTCGGTGTCACAGCGGTGCAGTGCTCGCCTACCATGCAGGTGGTCTGGGATTCGATCCGATACGTCGCTAAGCCAGTAGTAAGACTGGTAAAAGGGGAAGGTTGGGCATGAGGCTAGCAACCCTATCCTGTAAAAAATAATCACCACTGCTACAGAAACTTCAAGCCTCTAACTTGAAGCCCTGCGTTACACTGGGAACGTAAAGGAATAAAAACAGTACTATCATTACTAAAGAGTTTGTTCTGCTATGAAGTTTCTTTAGTGACTGGGATAATTCTCTCGGACAGGACCACTAACTTTACTCCATGCCCTGGAATGAAACAGTCAGCTGGTAATCCGAGAGTGGTGTGAAAAAAGATCATGTGAGGAGGAGACAAGAGTGTATGGCCAGTCGCAGAGACGCCTAGTAAGGACTGCAGAGAAAGGAGTGGAGTGGACGCTTAGTGCTGAAAACCTGTCTTATCCATTCACCACTCAAGGGATTCATAACTATAGAATAATAAATAAGGGATTTTCTAGTCCTCTTGAAAGGTTTTCAACAAAATATTTGTAATTATAATCGTAATGAAAAATTAAGCAACAAAATGGTTTATGCGCTTTATAAAAAGGTTCATGGAATCCACAAATCTCGTGTGAGTTGGTGGCCCATGCTCACCAAACACGCATGTAGTCCTGTTTTCGATACCTAGCCGGCGCACTCATTTACCTCCCTAAACCAGTAATAAGACTGATAAAGAGGGAAGGTTGGGCAACCCAATGGGTTAACAACCCCATCCAGTAAAAATAAACATCACTGCTGCAGAAACTTCAAGTCTCTAACTTGAAGCCCTATGGATATACAGTGTGAATAAACAAAACGAAAAAGAAAAGTTGCCAGGTTAGAAGTAGGCATCATAATAGTTAAGCATAGAAAAATTGCGACAATGAAAGGAATAGTTGAACAAACTTTTTCTTGCATACAAAACACTCGACTGCAATGGCTTCAGCAATATAAATGAGTCGGATATGCAGTGATTTTGGCAGGTTATTTCTCTCCTTATAGATAACTTTGGAAGATGAAACGGTAGAGATTAAGTGACCAGTATCGAATAGATATTCAAACTCGGATCATAATCAAATAATGATTTTGTCAAAATTCATTTCTTTACTACTGACTATTGGTTTTGTAAGGATTTTTCGTTTGATTGATTGGAGGATTTCATCATGAGCTGACATCAGTTAGAGAACCATTGGAAAACCAGCTGGGAGTACTGGACAACTGTTTCGTCAGCCTAATTTATGACTCTTCGTCAGCAGACACGCACACGGCGGGGTTCGAACCAATAACCTTCTGGCTACAAGGCTAGTGAGCTCGTAGAACATTAAGCCACTGGGACCCAATCGAATAGCCAGTCCCTGAATTCTAACTTCTGCGAATATAAACTGATGTCAGTTCATGAATTAAAAAGACACCATCTCACATAAAAATAAGAAAGTTTCTCTTCTAGAAAGTGATTTTGGTTTAAGATTTCTAATACAGCGACATCATTCTTACCCTAACGCTTAACCTCACCAATAAACTGAGATAGATCTAAACTGATGTTGCAAACCCGACAGACCGGGTGAATTTCGCAATCAGCTACTGACGTCAATCAGTACAATTAAATAATCATTAAAATAAAAAAATCTGCTGTTGATATTTTAGCCATTATAAATTGATATTTTCAGTTATATGTTGTTCATTTTACCGGTTACCGGTTTTCTTTTACAACTCATCGAAATTCCTATCCGCACAAACTTAATTATGCGAAAAAGGAATTCCTACTGTATAGATTATACATTATCAAATACTCCCTACTGCTTGGAAAAAAAATGTCATACAGTGTGTACAGTACATTTAACAACACAAATGAACAAACTATACTGACGTAGTGAATTTACATTCCCATTTTACTGTCCATTTCTACTGCATCCTTGTGTTTCATAAATAAATGACTTTACCTCCACAATATTGGAAAACTAACTATGGAGAGAAATACAAGTTTTGTTTTCTGACTATGGCAATATCCAAGAGTTACATGAATTCACAGTTGTTCAGGTTATATCAAAATGTTGTTAGGCTTAATGTGATTAGATACTATTTCTAATGTACTTCGATTCTAGCACGTACCATTATATGTATATATACATATATATGTATATATGAGGCTTTGTTAACATGGAATTAGGTAGAATTTTTTTAAAATCTTGCGTTGTATTACAAGAATGCAGTGTAATGTATACCTTACATGTTTTTTTATAGACAAAGGAATGTAATGTAAAGTCTAATTTTAGCAACAATTGACAGAGTCAAGTAATAGAAACATAAAAGAACATTATAGTAGATTCATCGATATAAGGATAAAACTTGGGCACTGTGGTGGTAGAGTATAATTCCATTATGGATAAAATTTTATTTTGATAAAGTTACACAGTGTGTCTGTTATACAGTAATATTTACTGATGACTCCATTTGGAGAATAAACTATTACTACTAATGGTCACTTCAGGGTACTGCTTACACAACTTTCTTGCTTCATTTATGCATATGAGTATAAACTGATTAGACATTTGAAAAAAATCAATATAAGACAAAGTACATTCAGAAATAATATTAGTGTTATCAATAAATTACAATGAGATGGGAAATAAGATGTTTTTGTAGTCATAATAAGTAACTTGTTAGTGTTATGATGTACGTGAATTGAAATAGAATTTTAAGATTATTTATTATCTTCCTCTGATTTGACTGGAGGTAATAATATCTTCCATATTTCTGGTATTTGCACTGAGTCATTTCTGTTGCATGTGTTGGGTGTAGACTCGATGAACCAGGATTCAGTAATCAATCTCTCTCGCTCTCCACCTACTTATACTACTTCTTAGAATTTTAGCCCTCTCCCGCCATGTTATTGTGTGATTGTGTGTTAATGCATGTAGTGCAATCGCTGAGCTTTTTTCTAAATTACTTATCATCACAGGGTCAACCATTCTTAACTTAGGTAAATTCTTATGTTCCGACAATCTGACTACTCCCGATCTACTAGTCTGATCTATGTAGTTGACTTAACTCACAATGATTACAAGGTATTTTGTAAATTATATTATTTTGTTTAATTAGGTCCACTGGGTCCTTTAGCCTACAGAGCTTGTCCCTACCTGAGTACGTTTGTTAGTTTAAATGCAACGCTAATTCCTGCTTTATTGAGAATCCTATTAGGCAGGGTCTCAGATGTCCCTTCATTATATGGTAAAACTGTAGATCCCTCATATTCTTTCTTATTTATGTGATCATTATCAGTTTCTCCATTATTTTTATTTTACTTTTGAACTATTTGATATTCCTGATGAATTTTATAGGATAGTTAGTTATTCAACACCAACGCCTCTTCTATCTGTTTCATTTCATCATTTAGGTTGATTCTTCAACACATTTACGTTAATATTGCAAACACTTTTAGGTAGTATGAAAAATTCCTCAGAAGTAAATATTTTAGAAAATAAAATGAAGAACGAACCATTTAAGACGTTTGCGGTAAGCAAAACTCCAACCAACTTCAGAGTGAATACCGACAGTCATATCAGTATCATAATCAAGAAGCTAGAAATTGTAAAACGAATAAAGTAATCGTGCCTAGATAATAGCCTAGCTAATCTGACCTACTAATTATTCAAGAAGACTGATGTCAATCACTAACCGTCTCATTATCCAAGACTTCTGTACAGCCAATCAAGAGGATAACAAGTTTTTTTACCTGATGAATTTACACTGAAATAAGGACTGATACTGGATTCGTTAACCGTGTTGCCAGGATTCTCCAGTGCGTGTGTGTGCGTGGATGTTTGAACTTAAGACTAAAGAAGTTTACTATACCCACCATGTGGTTAATAATAAAATAGTTGTAAACTTCTAGACACCCGTAAAATACGTATGAACAGTTTAACTTAATAAAATGTAATAGATATCCCACTACAGATAGGATGATAACATTTCACTGGGCCTAATGTCTGCTGAGTGCATAGTAAAGCATATCTTCATAACTCAGAAGCTTCAGAACTCATTTCCCTAGATCTTATCAACCGTAGATACACTCCTAGTCATTACGAAAATGTGTGTCGATTGTTCAGTGCTAGAATGCTCCCGAGCTGTTCATACGGTCCACGTTTGATTCTCGACCGACGCACTCTTAGATCTCGCTTAGCCAGTAGTAAGCTTAATAAAAGCTGAGGAAGGCTGGATGTATGGCCAGTAACCTCCTCTACTCTTAGAAAACAAAAATCACCACCTCTTCCGAAACAGCAAATCTCAAGCTTGAAGCCTCATGTTTCATCTGGAACTCAAGGTTATGTATTAGTAATATTATACAACGCTTGCGTGAAAAATAACCCACTTCAACTGTTTCGGTTTTGAGCATATTTCGCCTTTTAGAGCGACTATGACTTCGAAGTATAAGTGTTAGTAAAACAGATGAACTGATTGCATTCTAGCATAGAATAAAAAAGTTGACAAATACCTAAAGTACCCATGGTTGCACCATTCAAATGCAACGAAATAAAAGTAATGTTGTTGGAAGGATTTTCGACATCTTTCAATTTACCTTTCTGGACCTCATTTTGCAGTCTGTTTACTAAATTCAGTATAATCCATGTGCTTTTTCCATCCCCTGAGCCCAGACATGGGCTCCAAGCTTTAGACTTTGAAGTTTAATTATCAGTGTGATTGTTTTTAAGTGGTGAGGTTGTTAGATTACTGTCA